TTTTTTAAAAATTATATATATATATAAATTTTAATGAACGTTTACAGAGTCAATCCATCTTGTTGAGGGTCATCCTCTTCTAATTGTTCAAAGGCCTTGTAAGGCCGGTCAAAGGATTAAGTGGAACCAAGGGAGCAGTGGTGGCCTAGTGGGTAAGGAGTCACTCTGCTAATGTAAAGGTGGGTGCTTCAAATCCGTCGCCTCCTCCTTGGGAGAAAGATGGTTAATCTTCTCCCATCAGGGTCAGCTCTGAGTTAGTTCTGATTTAATGGCTGCTAGGAGCATTTGTGTCTCAAGTCTTTGAGTGAGGGAATGATTGTATTTGATTACTTTTATTATGTAGCTAGGGATGAAATTACTAGGTCATCTGATAATCCTTCTGTGATCAGCATTTTGAGGAATTATTACATTCTTTGCCAAAGAAGTTACAACGTTTCATATTCCCCACATGCAATGTATAATAGTTTCAGTGTTTCCACATCCTCAGCAACACTTAAAATTGCATGGAAGGAGCTTGCCCATCTTGCTCCTGTGAGCAGCTAGCTGGTGGATTTGAACTGCATGCCTTTGGGTTGACAACACAACTTACTATTAGACCACCAGCATTTCCCTTACACATCCTACTGAATGTGAAATGACATCTCATTATGGTTTTGTTTTTCATTTCTTTAATGATGAGGTTGAACATTATTTCAGGTGCTTATTGGCTATGTGTGTTTATGTTTATTCAGATTCTTTGCCCATATTTAAACTGTGGTTTTGCCTTTTTATTGTAGAGTTACAGGCATTCTTTGTACATTCTGCATACACGTGTCTTATCAGATGTATGATTTGCAAATATTTACTTCTATTCTCTGAGTTATCTTAATGGTGTTCTTTGATGCAAAAAAAGTTTAGGATTTTAAAAAAAGAAAGTTTTAAGTCCAATTTGTCTGGTTTTTCTTTTGTTGCTTATGTTTTTTGGCATCATAGTTAAGAAAATATTTCCTGCCTCAAGGTCACAAAATTTCCTCCTTTGCTTTTTTCTATGAGGGTTTTTTTTTTCAAGTTTTTATTGGGGGTTGGAGGGGAGGGCCCATCCTCGGAGGTGCTCACAGTTTCTTCAGCCACTCCAGGCTGGGACCCAGGGGGTCCTGGGGGTGGTTGGGCACGTCAGGCATGTTCCCATCATCTCGGAGGGGCACTGGGTAGCTGTAGGGGGTGACCGCATTGATCATGGAGGCATACTTGGTGTAGGGGCTTAACGAGGGCAGAATTACAGCGAGACCCACGATGGTGAAGGACACGACCAGCACCAGCTCCTTGTCCCAGGCATTCTTGAGGAAGGCTGCGAGTCCTGCGAGGGGAGGGGGGCGAGGCGGGTCACCCCTATGGGGCTGCCCTGATGACCTCTAAGCTGCTTGCATCACTCCCGCCCCCAGATGTCCTCCGTGACCTCCGCGTGCCCAAAAGCACCGATCCCACAGTCCCTGCTCTGCCACATGCCCCCTCCCTGCTCTGCCTGGGGAGCCTGGAACCCGAAACCCGCGCACCCAGAACCACGGATCCTACTAGTCCTTTCTATGAGTTTTATAGCTCTCATATGAAAGCCTTTGATCTAGTTTTCATTTGCTTTTTGCATATGGTGTGAGGTAAGGGTTTAACCTCATTCTTTTGTATTTAGCTTCCTTTGTCAGAGCCTTGAAGCACAATGATTAGTCCTGTTAACTGGAAGGTCTGTGGTTCAAACCCACCAGCTGTTCCAAGGGAGATCTGAAAGCTGGGCAATAAAGGACAGAAGAAAATCAATGCCTCTAAGTTGTGGTATTGGAGAAGAGTTGTGAAGATGTGAAGATGTCTTTTGATGTTCTTACAAGCATGATTTCTTTTTCCAAGGACATTTTTCCTCCTTATGTGCCCAAAGTATGTGAGACCAAGTTTCACCATCCTTACCTAAAAAGAGCATCCTGGTTGCACTTTCTTCAAGACCTATTTGCTCATTTGGCAGTCCATGGAGTATTCAGTACTGTTTTCCAGCATCACAGTTCACGCACATAGTTTTTTCCCCTCTGTCATTCTTATTCATTGTTCACCTTACAGATGCATAGAAAGTAGACCATGGCTTGAATCAGGTGTACCTTAGTCTTTAAACTGACATCATTCCTCCTGAGTACTTTGGAGAAGTCTTTGACGACAGCTTTTTCCAATGCAATATGATTCTTGATTGCTAGAACCAAGAATATTGATTGTGGATACAAACAAGATGAAATCATTGGCAGCTTCAATCTTTTCTCCATCTGTCATTTCACAAGACGGCTTGTTAAAACAAATACGTGGCCCGCAGGCTCCCTGTTCCTAGGGTTTCTGACTGGATCTGCA